AAACTTTTTTTAAATTTTAAATTGTAAAGATAGTACATATTATTGATTTTTCAATCACTTATATACATGTACAAATATAGACATTTTGTGAAGAGGATCCATATATACATAATAGTATGTACTTTAAGTAGTATATAGGCCCCTGTCTTGATCAATTAAAGTTTATATATTTAGAAAGACCCAGTTTATCCACATTTCTATAGTTTTTACAGGCTCATTCAAAGGATCTAATTATTATAAAACTCAATATAAAATATGAAAATAATATTAACTTCTTCATCTCTGTCATTTTTTTTTACTGTTTGATTTTTAAGATATAGCAGTTGTCAATTTAAATTGTAAAGACCATAGATTTAGTCCATTTACCAGTTTCTATTCTATTAACTAATCAGTTGTAAATTTATGTCCAATGTCTGTACATGTGTTATTATAAGCATGTCCTACAAGTTTTTCTAGTATGTAATATGAAAATCCGACTAATAACTTGTAATGAAAATACTCATATTTTATATAAGAATTTTAGAAAACATCTTAAAGGTTGAGTCACTTTTAATAGTCCGTCCTCTTTAAAGACAGGCAGGCAGGTTATATTTTATGTCTTCATAATTGTTATTTTAAATAAGAACATTGGCATACTATTCAAAAAATAATTCACTCATAATAGAAGAAATATATGATACTCCTCTACTTTATTTCAGATCTGAAAAAAAATTCTTGTGTGATTATATATGATCTCTCTCAAAATTTTATTCACCTCTAAAAAAACTGCTAGGCATAACTAAAAGGAATTCTAGTAATTTGCAGTGTATGAAAAATACTGTCATTGCTTCAACTAGCTTCAGCATTACTCCTTTGTCAGTTTGTACTTCGATCTTTGGTTGCCCTTACACATGGAAACATAAAAAGGGAAAGAAAAAAAGAACTACAAACTTTTATCATTGGAAAAGCCTTGTATGTATATATATATATATATATATATATATATATATATATATATATATATATATATATATATATATATATATATATATATATATATATATATATATATATATATATATATATATATATATATATATATATATATATATATAAACATTTTTTGCTGATGTTTGTAATCTACTTGGTTATTTCCCTTTCCAGGCATGGTTATTTAAACAAACTAAAAATCTGTATGAAGATTTGGTTTTTTATTGTTAACCTCCATATTTTCTTGTTCTAATTTCAAATTGACTGTTTATGGTTTAGTTAGAGTAGATGTTTACTTATTTTAGGGGGTCTGTTGTTGCTCTTTTAATTTATATTTTGCATAGAGTTTCAGAGCAAATTTTTAAGTAAAGAGTTTTGTAAAAAAAATTCTATAAAACATTTTAGTTTTTCCTTCATCCTTAAATATGCTTGTGGTCTGTTGTTCTAAAAATATTTTTTACACCCTCCACTAAGTTCATAAATACTTTTACCAAAAACTTTAAAATTTGATCGCATTACATGGAAATTCATCTATATTGACTGGAATTTCAATTTTTTTAGTCCAGCTCTGGTAGTTAATGGGTGAAATTTTACATGGTTTTATTCTCATCTTAGCTACATGTGTAAGTATTCTCTTTTTAACAACGACTTTCCCTTCACGTCAATCTTTTTAGAATGTCCCAAGTTTGCTATTGTAATAATTGTTCGAATTAAGTTTTTTCAGATTGGGAATGAGGTTATAAATTAAAATAACTACAAGGCATCAATTTAAGGATCAGGCTATATTAAAAACTTTAATTATTTCATCGAAATTTATACGATGTTATACACAACTTAAATTATATCTACAAAAAAAGAAAAAAAACAATATGAAAAGAAACAAAGCAAATACCTTTAATTATGTTTTGAAAAGTGTTATACATATATTATATGTTAGCAGGAAACACTTAAACATGAATAACAGGTTGTATCAAGTTACCAGTCATCTACATCTTATCCTCTGAGTATTATCTAATTATGTAAGAAATCCGGGAAAAAACTTTCCTTTCGCTTCCTGTGCGTAATCCAAAAGTCAGTAGTTTTTTAACAGATATGTGATTGTTTATAGATATTTAACAACCAGATAGATAGTTAAACAAACTTCTATACACTAGGTATACCTACAGTCTACTTCTTCAAGCATCTACTTGCATGAAGTAGTACTTAATATGTCCTTTAAAATAATTTGCGTATATTTAAAACATTCTATTTTAATTTATAAAAGTTCTATACCGGAGTAAAAAAAAAATCGGAAACCTTTTACATACCAGACAGACAACCTGACAATATTATTACTACACCCATATGCATGCATTAGAGGTCTTTTAGAAATATAAAATATAAATAACATACTTTTTAGTATCAAATAAAAACAATTACAAAAAATTTTATACTTAAAAAAACCCACACAAAATGATGGCTAAAAAATACAAATATATATATATATACAAAAATTATGAATTAAAACATTAAATACATCCATGAATTACTGATGCACATTGGGATTTATCACTGCCAAAGTTATGATTTTTTATGCGGCATTTAACGCGAAAATTATCATTGAGAAAAGGGTATAAAACATCTTTACATGTTCTAAATTCGCATATATGTCTTTTTTTTGAGACAAAAGTATAAATTCAGTTGGGTTTTTTTGATTATGAATCAGAAAGATAAATATTTTGTAACGGTCCATACAGATAAAGATATCATGATGTACATACAGAGATAAGTACAATGATACACAGATAAGTATTATGATGTACATACAGAGATAAATATCATGATATACATACAGAGATAAGTATCATGATATACATACAGAGATAAATATCATGATATACATACAGAGATAAATATCATGATGTACATACAGAGATAAATATCATGATGTACATACAGAGATAAATATCATGATGTACATACAGAGATAAATATCATGATGTACATACAGAGATAAATATCATGATATACATACAGAGATAAATATCATGATGTACATACAGAGATAAATATCATGATGTACATACAGAGATAAATATCATGATGTACATACAGAGATAAATATCATGATGTACATACAGAGATAAATATCATGATATACATACAGAGATAAATATCATGATGTACATACAGAGATAAATATCATGATGTACATACAGAGATAAATATCATGATATACATACAGAGATAAATATCATGATGTACATACAGAGATAAATATCATGATGTACATACAGAGATAAATATCATGATGTACATACAGAGATAAATATCATGATATACATACAGAGATAAATATCATGATGTACATACAGAGATAAATATCATGATATACATACAGAAATAAATATCATGATATACATACAGAAATAAATATCATGGTGGGCATACAGAGATAAATATCATGATGTACATACAGAGATAAGTATTATGATGTACATACAGAGAAATATATCATGATGGACATACAGAGATAAATATCATGATATACATACAGAGATTAATATCATGATGTACATACAGATATAAGTATCATGGTTTACATACAGAGATAAATATCATGAAGAACATACAGAGATAAATATCATGATATACATACAGAGATAAATATCATGATATACATACAGAGATAAATATCATGGTGTGCATACAGGATAATCACCGGTATCGTAATTTAATGGATATGAGCGACAATTCAGTTCTATTCTAAATTCTTTTTATTAAAAATATCCATATTTTCATCAGAAAGTTTGTACACAAAAATTATCCGTCTTCTTCCTTCATTTCAATGTAGTCTAGATGTTCTAATTTCTGTGTATTTATGATCCCTTCCTTTCAAAATCAATGACAGAAATGAACTGTATATAACGAATTATTTCAAAATTGCATATGTTAATTAATTTCAATTGTCTGTTGGTTTTAGCCGATTCAGACAGATTCAGCGGGAGCTTGCTTATAACATTTGCATACATGTTTGAATTATAGGTAAGTCAGCATAATAAAAGGTGTACGTGTATTAATTTAATTGAATTTTTTTCAACAGAATGTGTTATTCATCCTTATATTTGTTTTAATATTTGGGATACTTCTATAGAGCTTGCAATGTGGTTTTTGTATTTAAATCATTGTCAGCGACTATTAATTATTTTAATATCTATTGGAATCATTGTTTAAAGCCCTATTGAAATCAATATATCAATCACTTTTGAAATCTATACGTAAATCGCTATTTAAATAATTATTTCAAAAGTGAACATCATTTCAACAGTGGTTGCAACCTGTGTTTGGTATTGAAATGCACTCTCAACCACTATTGAAATAATTATTTCAATAGTGTTAGTATTCAATAATGGTTGCATACTATGTTTGTTAGTGGAATGCACTCTCAACCACTATTGAAATTATTTCAATAATGGTCGTATTTCAGTAGTAGTTGCATACTATGTTTGTTATTGAAATGCACTCTCAACCACTTTTGAAATAATTATATAAAAAGTGGTCTTTATTTCAATAGTGGTTGCAACAATGCATACCAAATATGAAGCCTCTATCCCCTATGGTTCAAAAGTTATATGACGAAAATTCGAAAAAACCATTTTTAGCATAAAGGTTACAGTCAAAGTCATTGACCTTGTTGGCATTTGAAAGAACTTAATTAGTTGAGTATGCATAATAAATATAAAGTCTCTATCTCCCCTGGTTCAATAACAACAGCAAAAGTTCGAAAAAGTTATTTTTAGCATAGAGGTCACAGTCAATGTCACAAGAAAAGCGTCCTTGGCGTTATATGAAAGACCTTAATTATCGAAGTATGCATACCAACTATGAAGTTACTATCTCCTATGGTTCGAAAGTAATTGCAAAAGTTCAAAAAGCTATATTTTTAGCATAAAGGTCACAGTGAAGGTCACAAGGTCATTGACCTTGGTGTCTGTTGAAAGTGCTGAATTAGTGGAGTATGCTTATCAAATATGAACTCTCTATATCTCACGCTTCAAAAGTTATGGCGAAGGTTAAAGTTGACATCAGACAGAGAGATAGACAAACAAACAAACAGACAGGACAAAAACAATACACAACCCGAATCTATCGATCCGGGCGCATAAAAATCCATAATCAAGAAGATTAAACCCGAGGGATTTACACTGAATAACCTCCAAAACTTGTTTTTCGGTACACATAAGCGTTGGATGCAAGTGTTACTTTTATCCAGACTTTTGATCCACTCAACAAGTTATGAACGACTGAAAACGATACAATGTTAAACACATTATCACTAAAACAGGCTGTTTCTCCAACTCTTCTGTCGTCAATAATGAGACTAATATCTATACGTTCAACCTTGCACTCAAGTGAGACAAAGAAAACGAACATTCCGGGTCTGTCGCTCTGGAATACCCCTGTATCCTTGTCATATAAGCCTCCAGTGTTGCTTCTAACATCTGTATATACCAAAATGTCATTTGCATTTACTCTGGGATTACTACCAATATACGCAGTAAAGCCTACCTTTGTCGAATAGTTTTTACCTACAGAAAAAGAATTTAAATTCAAAATACATAAAGGAAATTATTTTGAATAATGAATTTGGTGACAACTATTGATTTCATGTATAACTTGAAAATTCGTTGAAGTTAGTAAAAGCAAACAAAACTAGAGGTACTGTGAGCAACGAGGTCCCCCGCCTCCCATATGATTATAAAGACAAAGTCCATGTTTTGCTATGGAGACTCAAAATAATTGTCAGATCATAAAAGTTAAGTAAGAAGTGGACAAAAGTTGACGATTTATTACTTACGAATAAACAATACATATTTGCAAAAACACATTGTCTTACAGGTGTTACATTGATAATTGTCAATAGAAGAAAAATATCTTATTAAACATGTTAAACAAGTTACACTTACCAAGAGGATGGTAACTTTTTAATTCATTTATTTCAGTCCTTAGTCTCGTTACTTCCTCTCGCAATCTCTCTGTGTCTTCTACTTTGCAGCCATCGTTTGGAAAAAGGGCTTGGCAATTAGCTCCTCTCTGTAGATTCATCACGCTCATTATAAGCGCGTATGTAACAATGTACATCCTCATGCTATGCCTGATTGTTTACATATAATGTTAAAAGAATTTGACTGTTTCTTAATATAAAGCATACAGTATAGGCAATCAGATCAGTTTCGCGCATGCATTCATCAAGTGGATCACAGTTAAAAATAGACTAAATGTGGAAAACTTTTGGAAAAACTCTGGAAATAGACTTTAACATTTTCAACTCTTAATACATATATATATCAAATCAGAAATGCTTTATAGTAAGATGTTTTATTAAATGTATATATATTTTATTTTCTCATTTCTCAACAAACAGTGAATATATATATAACAGACAAATTACATTACAAATGTAGCGGGAGCAGTAATACAGACAATATTCTAATTCACTGGATGATGTTTATTATAGTTGAATAAAATGATCATATAGCATCATATTGTAGATTATGCAAAATAATATAAAATACATTTACTCAATTTCAAATCACATATAACAGCAGAATCTACTGTCATCATAAAATCAGATAATTACTATATATATTTAATTAGGTAATAAAATAATAAATATTGATTTGACACATGTCAATGAGTTACATGTATATCTCTTGAATTTAAATACAAATGATATTTCTCTTTACACATTAACTTCATAATAGTGGATAATAACTATTTAAAATAATATAGATATACAAATAGCTACATGGGTATGAATCCATCTATATTGTATAGGTCTATTATACAGTATATGTCTTATGGATTATCTATAATTCATAAATAATATTCATACACTATATACATGTATTTTTGTGTCATATAATACATTCATTACAAAGTTTAAAATCAACTAGTTCATCAGCTTTTGACAAACTTAAATAATTAAATAAATTCTTTTATATGCCTCTTTCATTCAGTAATTAATAGGAAAGTATTAATATGAAATAAAAATGTCAAAAAGTCAACTTACTTCAGTGGTCATAAAATTTTCCAAATACCAATAAACACAACTAAACACTCTGACTGTTCCTGGGCTAGTAATTAGCTGGACAGACAGGAAAAAGGGGATCAAAGGTTTTGGCGTGAAATATTGACCAAAGCCTATTTTCACTTATGTATTTATTCATGGTTAAAAGTTAAGTTTTAAGTTTAGGGCTCTAGAGTTTTCTAGACTTTAAGTATAGGAAGTTGTTACAAATTCATTTACATGTTTAATGTTTAAATGAAACATTTTTATTTTAAATCAAGTTTATTATTGAAAGTTATTATATATAACTTTCAATGGCATCTGAAAGAAAAATACAATAAATTAAAATCACTAAAAAATCAATACTATCACGCAAACATAAAACAATGTGATAATTTTACCTTAAGACCATGTAAAGCAAATGAAACATGTATTAAGAAATATTTATGCAATTTTTGTTTAAAAAGTCTGTAGTCTACAAGAGAGTTCAAATTTTACAAAATTTTATAGTAAGAGATTGAACAAAAAAATTGGAAAATTTTTTTTTTTTTTTTTCAATACAATATTATTGACATTGATTACATTCTCAATAATGAATGTATTGCATATCAATTTATCTAATAATTAAATAAGACACGGGAAAATACAGATTTTTTTTCTTTCATATCCATGGCTTTTATTTACATTCCTTTATTAAAAGTCCATGATATAACGATGGCTTTATTTTTTTTTCGTTCGAGAACCAAAACAAAGCTTAATCACAAATGTTAAATTACCTTGTATACTAGTATTCCAATGGCTTAATATATTTTTCTGTCAATTCACAACAGAGTTATTTCCATTCATATGTCGACACGATAGTCCAAGTGAGCTTGATAGATATACCAAAGTCTGACACATCCGTTTCACACTTGTTTTTTGTTTTACCAGAAATACCCACAGGTAACAAAAAAGCTTTGCGTTAAACGTCAACTAATGAAG